TCTCTCTCTCAAAATTTAATTAATTTAAAACAGTTGGTTTTTGTCTGTCGTGATTTAATTAAATCAAATTAAACGCCATTTTGTAAATGATGTAAAATATGAAATGACTTACATTATGGTGGGTATCGTTGCTCTGCCCTGAATGACACATTCAATCATGATTTCGGCCGTTTCTTCCTATTGTCGGATTCAATTGCCCAGCAATTCGTACTTCAATACAGTGTTTGCAAATATCATGATTAAAAATACCACAGTATATCACACCTAATAGTCATGTAATAAATAAAAATCATTATCAATTATATACAGGTTTACTTTGACTTTTTATCTAGGCATTATATATGTACAATTAAGTAACATGAACAGTTATTTACTTACCAATTATGGTCAACAAAATATACACGTTCATTTTTAAAATGTAATGATTATGTTGTAATACCAACACCTTTAGCACTCCATACGCTTATTCAAACTAATCACTAAAAATTTATATATAAAAACTTATGAGTTTTTTTGCATTACAGTATTTAATAAGTTGTGTGATGTTCATAAAGAAGAAAGCATAAATAGAGCTCAAAATTCACTCAGAATTTATTGAGATAAAATTAAATTAGAATCTCTAAACAATATGTAGATATACTTCATACGTTCAATCTATCACGAGTTAGTCGCTGTGACCACTTTTTCTGGAAAAAAATTTTAAAATAATTTTTTATCTTACAAATAAAAATATCATATTATACATATTAGTATTTGTATGTATATTATTATGTGTTTATCAATAAACAGGCATAGATGAGATGATTTTATTATGACAGAAAAGTTAAATTAAAAAATAAAATTTAAATATTAATTTTATACATAATCTCTAAAAAAATATCATTAATGTATTCTGATTATATCAATATTAATGCAAATATTTATGAGATAAGAGTTTAATTTTCAGGGTTTGGTGCATACAAATGTTTATGTAATATACAGTTATATCATTCAATTTATGGTTCATACGTAGTGTGACCACCTTTAGGTTTAGAAATAGAGAACATTTGACTAAAATTCTGTTAAAATAGAGAACAAATAGAGAGCACATTTTTTAATATTAATTTTTCGTTATAATTAAAAAATTGAGGTTATTTATTAACAATTTTGTAATAAGATTTATTGTATTAAGTGTGTAAAAAATGGCAATTGTTAATCAAGAAAGTGTTAAATCTTTCAAAAAGTTTATTATTGTATAGATTAATAAATATTTAATAAATTTAGTAAAATTTTTATCATTTATTACAAAATCAAAATAGAGAACAGTTCTCTATTTTGTTAAAATGCAGGTCCAAATAGAGAACTGTTCTCTGAAATAGAGCACAGGTGGTCACGCTATTCATACATATTATTACTAACTGTATATCTATTTTAAAAATGGTTGTTTAATTTAATTAAATGTAATATTAGATGTATAGGAATTAATTTAATAATTGTTCAATTAGTTAAATCAGACTGGACATTTAGCTCACAATGTGTATAATAAAATTCATATTACTGTTTATTATATTCAACATGGTCAAAACCGAGCCGCACACTCAGGTCAAACAATTAAGTGATCGAGTGATTGAAGCGATGGCCGACTCTATGGCAAACATGTTTACCACAGATTACGTACAGAAGATACTAATGACGGGCGAAATGAGTGCTGAAAATATACGGTTCGCTCGTTTCGCGTGGAAAAACTCCAAACTTTTAGTTATGCGTGAGTTTTGATTTTGAAGTTTATATCATTTATTATGCGCAAAATGTTAATTACTATTTTAACAATTAAAATTTAATAACTAAAGAATTAAATTTTAGTCAAAGTTATCAAGCATGTATTATTTTTTAAAAAATTATATTAGTACGTTTTGAGTTGCTAAAATATTGCACATCGGTGGCCACCAGATATCAAAGCCCTGGTCATCAAATTCTGGACCAAATGGTGAAGGATATGGCCATTGGATTGACACGATTCGAGCAGTTTTACGCCAAATTTGAGCAATTATTGGGCGGCGTTGGCGACGACGTAAAGCTCCGGCCGATGGACGGAACGGCCATTAAATATCACCAATTGATATATCGGGAAATGCACGTGGATGGTGTTGCTTCAATCAGGCGGATCATGGTGCTAATGATGGTGCCCATTTGGCGTACGCAATATGTGCGCGGCTACCTTAAAAACCAGGCCCACTACCGGCCGAGTCAGTTGTCTGACCACATGTTGGCCATGGATTTTGACGACACAATTTCGGCCGATCTCTATAAGAGAGTCATTGACTTAAACTCCGTTAATATGTCGGCCGCCGCAGAGCACGAGCTCATCCATTTGGTCAAAGAGGCGATGGCAGTGGACGCGACATTTACTACTAGTTTGCCAATAAGTAGTGTCGGCACCAATTGGACCATAGGGTCGGGCCCTACAGATTGGCGATTAAGCATAAGTAATGAGCCGAATGTCACAAAACCTAGTGACCGAGTGTTGGATTCTTTGGCCAAATCTATAACAAAAATATTTACCAAAGATTACGTCCAAAAGATACTTATGTTTGGAGAAATGAGTGATGAAAACATACGGTTCGCTATGAGATACTGGAAGAGAACTAAAACGTTGCTTTTGAGTGAGTTGTGAATATTAAAATTTTATTCTGTACAGTATTATTCTAGATTATAGTACGATTGTTGTAGTATTAGTGTGTATAATTAATAGTGCAGATTGTATACCATGATTGGCATTTGTACATAGGATTAAATAATTATTTTCATTATTTACATTAACATTCTAAATATCTAGAAAAAATTTCATAAAAATCGGATAAGTACTTTTCTTACAATAATTTTTTAAAGATTATCAGCCAATATAATGACATGTTGCTTTACATAACATTTGAAAATATAAATTAAACTAACATGTTATATATTGTTCCCAAATCAATATACATAAAATAGCCCGCTTGGAGCTACTGAAGAGATGCCTAGAGGTGGCCACCGACGATAAAAGTCGCCAAATACTGGACGGACTAATCAGAACTCTAGCGCCAAAATATGAACAATTTTGCGCCAAATTTGAGCTACAATTGGGTCCAATCGCCGACCACATCAAACACATACCGATGGATGTGTTGCGCATTGAACACCAACAGTTGCTGTACCGGGAAATGCACCGTGGTTCATTGGTACGCATGGCGGTCATACTAATGGTGCCCGTTTGGCGTACGTTACACATACAGGAGTATCTGAGTGGTCAGCATCGGTATCAACGGCGGCCGTTGTCCGATCTCATGTTGTTTAAGGATTTTGACCAACAAATGCTGTTGAATGCGCTCAAAAACGTTGTCCACTTAAACGCCGGTCATATGTCGGCCAGGGATGAGCACAAACTCGTCCATTTGGCCAAACTGTCCAATAAAGTGAATGGAAACTATTATCATGTGGATCCACACGAAGATCATGACACTACCGATCATCACGTGAATAGTACTTATAATGTTTGGCCCATAAGTGGTACTACAAATGGTGAGCACATAAGTACTACTGCTAATGATAGGCCCATAAGTCCTGTCTCTGGCCATCGATCAGTAATTCCTGCATAAATAGCTTATAAAATCCTATAATAAAACTATTATTACATAAATTTAAAATGTAATTTTTCATTTAATTAAAAACAAATATGATCTAAAATTTAATCTAACTAAATGCAAAATTATTAGTATTGCATTAACTTAATCACAATAAAGTGATATTAGGTAAATTTACATTAATATTAATAAATATTTAGTTGAATGAGCTTATACCAATTTGTTTATCATAATATAAATGTAGATCTCAATAATTCTATTTATTTGTAATATTTATTTGTTCATTAATTTAATGCATATTAAACTTTATTTTTAAACAAATGCCTGCAATGCCAAAGTGTAAGTAAATTTAAAATTTAATTTTAAATGTATTCTTAGTTTTTATAAAAGTATAGTTTTTGAGTAAAATTATAAAATTAAATAAATAACTAAAATATTTAGTAAAATTTTACATTTTACATTTTAAGTAAATATAATAATAAAAATATATAATTTTTATTTATAAAGGATTTCCAAAATGTTTACTGGCAACGTTAATTATAATGTGTATAATAATTAATTAATTTTTACAACAGAAAAATTAACAAATAAAAATATAAACTCACAATTAGCAAATTAAAATTTAATTCATTTTATTAAACTAATTAATATAAAATTACACATCAAATATGGGTTCAAACAAAATCGTTTAAAATATATGAAAAGTAGAGATTATTTTAAAAAAAAACTTAACTAAAAAATTATCAGCACAATTATGCTATACAAATAAAATGAATTATCTTATATAGGATATATAATTTTAAAACATGTTAGATAGTTCATTATTATGGGTCCTGTTTAATTCACCAAGCATCTTCGTCAGGCATGGGCTCTGCCTCGGGTTCAGGCGCCGGATTTGGCTCGGGTTTTGGGTTTGCCTCCGGTTCCGGGTTTGACTCGGGAACGGCTAAGTGGTAGTGAACATATAGTGAGCTTATATTAATTATAGATTGAACAATATACAAGAATACTTACGAATAGGATGAGCCTGCACCATATATGTGCTGATGGTCAAAAAGGCTACGAGTACTAATATTGTTGTTGCGCGCATTTTAGTTTATTGTTAAATGCTTTACTTTACCACAATGTGTAATACAATGGCGTGCTTTTTTGCCAACGGGTTGTATACAGTTATTTAATATACATTTCTGGAACCATCTGGTTTACAATCTCTCTTTCTCTCTCTCTCTCTCTCTCTCTCTCTCTCTCTCATTTCATAAAATAATTAATTAAATTTTATTGTATTTACTCAAAACGCATTTCACTACAAAAATTGAATTTTTGTAAATATTAACATCAAATATAAATTTTATAAACAATTGTTATAAAAATTATACAACAGATTAATTTTTACAAAGTATATCATATTCACCATTAGTTTATTATGCAAATATGATATCAATCAACTTTATATTATAATAGTGATCAGTGTGAAAGAAGTGCTTACCCTTATCACCATTATTTTATTTCTATCACCACTATTTATCATGCTATTTCGAATACAATTATTTTTATCACTAATAATCACGTGTTTAATACTATATTGTGTTTGCGATGGGAATAGTATTGATGTGAACACGAGTTCGGGTTCAGTGAGGGGTCAGACACTCCATGTCTTGAATCGCTCTATACATCAATTCTTGAATATACCCTACGCTGAGCCACCTTTAGGCCCACTCAGGTTCGCCCCTCCCCTACCCCTCAGAGCACCCAAACAGGTATGTATTCAAAATATTGCATATTTTATATCTTTGAAATTATTTGAAATTTTTATTTATTTAATTTCAGTACACAATTGATGGCACAAAACCTGGCAATCATTGTATTCAAGACAATAAACTACGAATTTTTAAAGTTGTTTTAATATCCATTTCAAACTAGTGTTACCAAAACTCATAATTAACAGGAGGACAGTCATAATGAAAATGAATAACTCAATCACATATTAACAATGCAAACAATTTTACGGTATTAGTTATTGGATTTATATCCTATGCAAGTAAAAAGTATTTAAGAAGTTTTCAAGAATAACATTATAAAATTTTCTCATGTAAATTATGCGTTTTGGTTACCCTAGCTTAACATGAAAATTAAAATGACTAAAATTGTACCGTAAATACACAGTTAAAAGATATGTCGGAAAATATACCGATGAGTGAAGACTGTCTGGTATTGAATATATGGACACCAAATGTGGGCAATAGTAGTGATAGTAAACTGAAAGGGAAAGGGAGTCTCAAACCAGTGATGTTCTCAATACATATCGGAGGCTTGAAATCTGGTTCAATATTTCGAGACTTTTACAACGGCTCGGTATTGGCCACCAATCATGTGGTGGTCGTGTCGGCTAATTATAGGGTCGGGCCGTTAGGCTTCCTATACGGCGCGGACGAGACAGCGCCGGGAAATGCGGGCCTTTATGACCAGTTATTGGCACTCAAATGGGTATTATATATACACTTTATTTACACTCATTTAATATTATATTTAATGAAATGTTTATTGCATGTAATAATAGGTTAGAAAAAATATTCACTCGTTTGGCGGAAATGGAGATCAGATGACCATTTTTGGCAACAGCGCCGGGAGTTGGTCGGTGTCCGCACACATACTCTCTCCGCTGTCCAAAGGTCTGTTCCGGAGGGCGATTATGCAGAGCGGGTCCGTTGCGTTCAACAGAGACCGACCAGTGGTCAGCGCCGCGGAAGCCCTGCAAAAAGCAAAACAATTGGCCCGACGTTTAAATTGTGCTCAAAATGACGACAAATGGTTGGACTGTTTGCGCGCAATAGAGGACCCGAAGCTCTTTGTTGAACGATCGGTCAATAAGAGTGCACTTGTATGGCAGTGGCCGGTGTTTGGCACACAATTCCTACCAGTGTTACCCAATAAAGCACTTAAAACTCAATCATTCAATTCGGGTAAATTTAAAAAACATATAAAGTTTACATGCACATAAATATTTACATGTATAATTATTATTATGATGATTCAATTTTGTTAGTTATAATGATGTAAAAGTTATGAAAACAATCTCTTTATAGACATTGAAGTGATGGCCGGCGCGACCAAAGACGAGGGCAAAGCTCTATCGTATCGACGAATACCGGAAATGAAGTCCAAACTGACGGCACAATTGTTTCGTAAAGCGGTCCGCGATTTGAGCGGCGAATACCATAACATAGATGTGGACAAAGTGTGCGCCCATTATCTTAATGGTGTCCACACAAGCAATTCATCGCAATTGAAGTCAGCGTTGAGTGCATTGTATGGCGACCTGGAGTTCACTTGTCCCACATATCGGTTCGCCAAGAGGTTGGCCACTAATGGCCAGAGAGTGTATTTTTACCGTTTTAATTTTCAGACAAAACTATCGGCCCTTATAAAGGGCTGCGCCAATAGTGACGTGTGTCACGCCGCGGAGTTGGACCTAACCTACGGCCAGCCCTTGAGATTTCCCAAACTGTACACCAAAACTGAATATGACTTCAGTATAGATGTGATGAAAATGTGGACCAATTTTGCAAAGAATGGGTATTTCTTTAGAAAAGTTTTAAATTTATATTTCAATTAATATTATGTATGGATTGATAGCAAAGCGCACGAACTTTGGCCACAATTATGTGACAAATCCGGTATTCATGTGAAAGACTTGAATCCCAACGATATGTCACTTATTCTCGACAATCCATACGAGAGTACATGTGATGGTATTTGGAGTGAATATTTTTAACTAATAGTTTTAAACTTAAGAAACATAAATAGCATATAAATTGTTGTTTTACACAAACATTAACAAAGTTAGGGACAGTTAGGCGATGGACAGGAAGGTGTCCTATAATTAATACACATTAATGTAAAATTCAAATTTTGTAAATACTTAATGGTGGAGAACTGTTTAGATTTAACGAGTTTTGTATTTTTAATAAATTATGTAATTACTAATTATGTTTTTTATTTACCTTTTTATAAGTTTTATGTATGATTTTCTCATTTTGAACATAATCTATAATTGATTTGTATTTTTACAAAATTTTATTATTTATTATAAACAGTTTATTCACTTATTTATTAATTATAAAATAAATTTAAACAAATAAATAATTGAAACAAGTTTCGCATCAGTTTTATATCAATAGGAAATAACACTAATCTATAGCTAACACTAACTCTATTGAAAACGTGATTGAATGAAACTTTTGAAACACTTTTCATACAATACTGTAAAACAATATCCACGAGCTTTAACTGTATGTATAAGTCTCGAGACAATCAGTTTTCAAACATGGACAAAAAAGTGTTTAAAATAAATGATAATAAATACGTTTAAATCATAGCAATAATTAAAGTCTTCACTCAATAGTTTTCAGTGAACAGTAAATCAAAGCCAAAAACAACTTTTATACACATAATAAATTATTAATAATAATGATAATGTCTTCGTTTGTGGTGATAGTGATTACCTCCTCAGTGATCATCACCAGTACATCGGCGGCCATAATATGCAAGAACTCAACGCTGGACTCAATCGCTTACGTGAGTGACTCCGACATGTATTTCATGACAAGCGGTGGTCACTATTGGTATATCAAAGGCAGTCAATTCCCGCCGCAGGACTCGGCGGCCAAACCACTGCCCGAGCCGTTCAAAAGGGGACAGTCGGCCGCATTCGTGGACATGAAGGCCGGATGTAAGGCACCGGTAAGCCGGGCCGGCAAAGCCCGCGCCGCCGCCGACGACACGGGTTTACTACTGTCTGACGACCGGATCGTATTGGTGTACGAAGTGGTCGGCGGGCGACACATGTTTATGGCGTACGACATAACCAACGGTCAGTGGCGGGGGTCGGCCCGCGAGTACAACACAGACAAGTGTCTATCGGTGGCGCAGCAAGTGTTCGACACACCGGACCCGTTGAACGCCATGTTTAGCACCAAATACGTGAACATATATCTCGTGAAAAACGGACAGTACGTACGCGTGGACTGCGGGCCGCTATGTCACGGGCCGGGCAAATACGGCCGCGACTCCGGCGTATACTCCGTGACCAAAGACCTGGACATCAACGACACGATCGCCGGCGCGTTTACCAAAACAGACAAAGAGCTGCTACTGTTTGGGCGACACATGTATTGGCGTTTGGATATTCAGGACGGCGGACCGAACGGCGAGCTGTACGGCCGCAAACTGGCCGGCGGTTTACGCACTCCCGGCACACCCGGACTCAACATAATGAAAGACTTTCTGCATATGACTAATCTGAGCTCATGTCTGCCACCGGAGTCACCCGATATGGTGCCCAACCCCGTGCCCGCCCCCGCTGTAGATGATGAGAGCGCCGGCACTTCCGCCGCCGCCAGCGATCTGTCCCAACATCAGGCCATCGACGGTAACAGTGAGTCCGGCATTCATTGGCTATGGATAGCGATCGTAGCGCAGGTGGTGTCGGCCGCCGGTGTGACAGTTGTGGCCGTAATGGTTATGCAAAGGACTGATGGGAACGGTAGCAGTGATAAGCCATCGGGCGGTAGGGATGGCAACCGGAAAAAACCGTCGGGCGGTAGGGATCACAAACATGTCGGTAATGGTGGCGAAGGGGCGGGTGAGGGGCCGGTAAAGCCGATGGCCGCTCATAAAAAGTGACAGTTGTTTGCGTTATTTATTGTGTTTTGTGTTTTTAAACTGATCGTCAGTTTTTAGTTTTGAAGTTACGTTTGTTTTTGTATTTTATTTAGTTTTTTGCTCACAATTAATGTAATCTCACTGTTATTTTTCGGTGTATTTATAGTTATAAACTTCATTTTTTTTAATTGATAGATGTATTAAATTTATTTATTATTTATTGAATGGTTGTTTTGTTTTATGAAAAATTTTGTTTATTAATTAATTTTTATTCATAGATAAATTATAAATAAAAATATGCTAATGCTAACTAATAACTAAATCAATTAATTTCCAGTAATTACATAACATTTTATATTTCACTGTATATTTACTGATACATTATTAATAATGATTCATTATTAATGTCGGGTTTTATAATAATACTCTGTTTGTAACTTATAAGTTATAACTTGGTATTAATATCCACAATTTCATTGGACAATAATTGGTGGTAAGAATTAATACCATCATTCACTTCGAGGTCTCTAAAAACAATTCTTGCATTTGGTTTTAAGTTTGAACTATTTTTCTTGAGATATAGTCTAAAATTTACAACAAAAAAGAAAATTAATTTTCAATATAATAAATTGTTTTAAAAAATACCTTAAAATAAGCACAAACGCTAAAATCAATGCCACAAACAACATGATCATAAATATTGTGTTAATGATTAAGAGTCGGTCCACACTTTTACCACCATTTATATACTTTGTGTCTGAATTAACATTAATTAAACTGGTGGTGGCATTAGTTTTACCATAATTAAAACTAATCGCAATGGATTTATCTGTCATTACTTGATTGTTAATCTCTATTGTATTAATATTATCAGGTGTTGTGAGACAAGTATACGCCTGTCCATCGCCTCCACCACTGGGCAGACATAGTTTTGCACACTTTGAATGATTGCAAGGATTTTCCGGTGAAGTAAAATTTGGTTGTAGCGATCGGTCGGCAATTTTAAACGTGTAAAACTTCTGCCAATTTATATCTATAATGCTTTTTGGTTTAAAGTTATTATTAACAGCCAATGATTTTGTAGAATTTTGAATTTTATAAATAACATGTGTCCACTCTATCCGCATGTTTAGCACTTGAAATACAAACATCTCGTGAGCAAAATATAGATTTTTGCCGAACACCTGAAGACTAGATACGATTGGGTCAAAGAGTTGCCGGGATTTTATAACAAACATCTCGTTTTTGCCCCAAAAGTCTATGGAATACAGCGAATGGTCGGTCCTATCGATGAAATAGTATTGTTTTGATCCGTAATCTACTGTCAAATGCATGGCGTGTCGGCCCGAGTCATACACTACTGTGCNCGAATGGTCGGTCCTATCGATGAAATAGTATTGTTTTGATCCGTAATCTACTGTCAAATGCATGGCGTGTCGGCCCGAGTCATACACTACTGTGCGGTTACTGCCATCCAAATTGATTTGCATTATACTTGTTTTAAAACCAATGTTAGACCAAACTAGAGCACCGGTCATAGCGTTTAGCACTAGATCTCTTGGACTTTGGATTTCTATTTTATGAATTGTGTAAACGTATTGCGAGTCACGAAAACTTATTACTTTAATTGATTTGTATTTACTGTCCAACCAATACAGTAAGTCATGGATCCAATCGATGGCCAAACTGTTGGGCTCTCCATCGCCCACATCTATATACTCCTTATGAGTGGCCGACTGCGCGATGAATTGACGTTTCTTTGGATCAAACCATACAAACCGATTTCTCACTGAGTCGTAATCCATGACACCTGACATCCGGTCTTCATTCATATCAATTATAGTAGTTTTGTTTATATTAGCCTTAAGTATCGCATTATCGGCAGAAATTACAATGGTCAATTCCGGATCTATTATGACAATAAATCTTATTATAAACCAATAGCAAATATTTGTAACAAACCTAATTTGATTGCCGTGTAATACAATTCAAAGCCAGTATAGATTCTACCGCCATCAGTTTTAAATGTTACCCTCATTGTATTTTCCGTTGTAAATAGATTTTCAGGCATTTTATCGCCACTATATTCATAGGACATTAAATTGGATATAATTGTCAACTTATCGTAATCTTTTTCAGTTTGAAAATGATTGAATTGAATATATAATGTATAGTCTTGTGGCACTCGTACTGTCCAAACGCAATGCAAGTTATCTTCATAATTCCCCGGATACCCAGGGCTAGTAATATAACCCTCGGTTTCATTTAATACTAATCCACATCCTATTAAATAAAATCATTTAAAAATAGTAATTATTTAAAATTTATATTGATATTTTTTACCAGTTATGTTATAAATTTTGTAGCTAATTAGTATCATACAAATAAATATGTTATTGTCAAACATAATTGAATATATTATTATTATTATTGTTAAAAAATGTTATTTATTATAATTAATTAATTTAACATCAAAATTTACTTAATTTAATACGTAATAAACCACTTAAATAACACTTTTTCAGTGTTATGAAGAATAGTTAATAATTAATAATAACGTTGAAAATATAATAAGGCACATGAATACCATGACAATAACATGATTAAAACATTTATCACATTTCACTCACTAATTTGTAAGAAATATTATATAAGTTTAGAATGTAATTAAATATTGCTACCAAATAACATTGATCAATTATTGTTTCTTATTTATAATTGTAATTTGTTTGGCGGATATCATAGGGAAATAAAATTGTCGCAAAGTTATTGATTTCCGGAAATAATAATTACACTTTTCCTAAAAAATGTTTCTTGAAATATAAATATATGTTTTTTTACATATCTATTTAAATTAATAAAAAATTATAATGTTAATTATCCAATAAAAAATATTAATATTATATATTTAAATTGATTTATATTGATTAAAAAATTAGTTATATAAAAATATTTTTACCTGCCACATAATAATTTATGCAAATATAATTTATTGTTATTGATGTCATTATATAAATTATGCATTTTTATATTTAACTTTTAAACCAATCTAATAGATTAATTGAGCATTAATAGACTTAAGCACATAATCGTGTTATACAATATAGTACAATGAGTAGCACAATATTCTGATAATACACTTCAAATCAAAATACAACTAGTTTAATTGGTAACAAAATGTACAAGTATTATAATCAGTGAATTGCATGCATTTATTATCTAAAATTATTTAGATAGTTCAAATTGTTTTGATTTGATTTATCCTCAATGATTGAACGATTACTACTTACGAGCAAACGAGCAAATTAGTTATATATAGTAGAATGATCAAGATCTACCATGTTGTTATTTATTTTTGATTTTAAATACTTGTTGTTTATACAGTATAAGTTTAATAATAATGTAACTCATTTATAACATGTTGGTAGTTGTGTTAAAACTACACTTAATTCTGGACACTAACTTGATAAATTAGATAAATACTCTACAACTTTTATTAACGGATTAGCACTGATTATTACTCTCATTACCTATCATTATATAACCTAATCATAATTGTAAATAAAATAATATAAATTATATCAATGCATTTATAAGTAAATTGTATTACAAAGTTTATAAAATAATAAATACAACACTAGTTTCATATCACACATACATTGCATGCATTGTTATGCAAAATAAAAAAGTGTTATATTTTTTATTCAGTGAACATTCAGTGCTTTCTGTCGCAGAGGCTTTCAAACAGATAGTTGTATAAAAGTGATAGATATTTTATTGCATGCTCATTTTATGAGTTTGTATGTTACCTTAAGTATTTTGTTAAAAACTTTATATACATTAAAGTAATGGGAATTAAATATGTGTTGAAAGCACTCGTGAGACGTAAGACCATCGATGCCAAAAAAGTGGACGATAGCCAACTGAAACGATGTTTGTCATTCTTTGATCTCACTTGCCTAGGTAAGTTCCCAATTTATATACTCTTCTATGTGATTTACTTAGATAGTATTTATCTTGAAATTCATACTAAATTAATTATTTTATTAAATTAATACCTATGGTTGAATAAATAATTGTAGGATAGACTTTTATACAAAAATAAGTCCATAATGATTTTTTGATATTTTATATTATTATAATTAAATTATTTTAACAAACTGTATCAAAATATTTATATAAATTGTTTATTATTTTACAGATGTTAGCAATTTTTTTTCGGAATAACTGGTCTTGATTAATATTATTTATTTTATACATAATGAAAAATAATGATATATAAACTAATACTTGTTTTACAAATACAAACTAGATTAGAATACCATTTTAAACATTGCAATATTATTATCATATATTCGACAAATACTGAATTGAAATGCATGTATAATTAACCCGGATTATGTCCATGGCAAACTGATAATGTGCAATATAAATATTATTGTTATTGCTATTTTATAACGTTAATGAATTTTATCATTTATGAATTCCCAAGTAGCGTAAGTTTTAATATAATGTACACAATATTCACTCTAAACCTACCATGGTTAAATAAAACTGGCTTAATTAATTAAGTTTTGCTATGTAAAATGTAGTGCATTTATTTCCATTTAATATTTTATTTATGTAAATAAAAAACGCCAATTAAATTATTTGCCCTGTTCAATTTTCTATTTAATAATTTTACGTTTTAGTTTATCTAACACTTCAGTGCAATAAAAACTTTAGAAAATAACATAATAAAAATAGTTGTCATTTAAATTGCATAATAAGACTACTGCTCTGATAAATGTTACTAATATAATTTGTACAGTTTATATATTAATTTTTATTTTAGCCATGTGTAATTTTAAAAATATAAAAGTAAACAATAAATTTAAATGAAATTGTTTTTACCAAAAAGGTAAAATTTACTTAATATACAAAAATATTTTTATTAAAAATAATTAAAGTTATATTTACTATTTAAATCCATTTACAGGTATTGGTTCAACATTAGGTCTGGGAGTATATGTGTTGGCCGGTGAGGTGGCCGGTAAAACAGCCGGACCATCCGTATGCATATCATTTTTAGTCGGTATGATATAAATTAATATCAAAATATTAAACTACTTAATTAAAAATAAATACAACTCTTAATAAAATTTTATTTTGTACAACAGCGGCTATTGCGTCAGTCTTTGCTGGTAAATTAATTTATTTGTGATTAAATAGCAATAATCATTAACAACTATTTATCATGATGGCATAGGTTTATGTTACGCCGAGTTTGGTTCTCGAGTGCCCAGAGCCGGGTCTGCCTACTTGTACTCATATATAACTGTTGGCGAGTTTATGGCATTTGTTATCGGCTGGAATATAATACTCGAAAATGTGATAGGTAAATTACTAATTATAGAATTTTATTTTTAAGTGCTGTAGTATTTAGAGCTAGATTAGATTTTCAACTTTACTGTAGTTTTTACATAAATTATTAATGTAAAAATCCCATATATTAAGACATTCTAAATTTAGGGTAATAGTCTAACATTGTAAGAGAGAATTTAGTTTGTTAAATAAAATAAACATAATTACATCACTTTAATCGTGGTCAATTCATTTAGGTACGGCATCGGTAGCCCGGGGTTATAGTGTATACATAGACGCCTTGTGTGACAACAAGATATCAGACTATTTTACATCAGTAGTGCCCATGAATATGAAAGGGTTGGCCGCATTTCCCGATCCAATAGCTTTTGGACTTACACTCGGTCTTACAGGTAAATTAGACTCGTTATTTATTTATAAATTTAATTCATCTAGCTCATATAACTAATTTAATTTATTACATTAATGATTATAAACAGTACTGTTGGCACTGGGAGTGAAAGAGTCGATACGCTTGCACACAGTGATGACAGTATGCAATCTAGTAGTGCTGGTGTTTGTGATAGTAGCAGGGTTGTTTAAAGCGGACATACATAATTGGAAAATTGACAAGAGCGAAATACCCGCCGAATACAATTGGGGTGGTAATGGTGGATTTTTTCCTAATGGGTTTTCCGGTAATTTACATTTTTAGTTTAAACATAATTTATAAGTTTTTATTAAACATGTGCATTTTATTTTATAATTATACAGGTATGATGGCAGGCGCCGCGGCGTGTTTTTACGGTATGGCATAATTAGTTGAATTTATCAATTAGTTTGAATATATCACAAAAATCTAATTTACCATGTTACCTTTAATCACATTGTTTAATGCAACAGCATTTGTTGGTTTTGATGCAATCGCCACAACAGGTTAGTAAACAACAAATTACAAAATAAATAATAAAAACAAAACCTTATAATAAAAATTACAATTAAATGTATTATAACAGGAGAGGAGGCGAAAAACCCGAAACGAAACATACCGTTAAGCATATGCTTCTCACTAATGGTCATATTCATGGCTTACTTCGGCATCAGTGCCGTACAGACTCTTATGTATCCCTATTATTTGCAACACAAGGAGCTGACCAACGGTGCGGCCCTACCCTATGTTTTTGACAAAGTTGGCTGGCATTGGGCGAAGTGGGTCGTGTCCATCGGTGCCCTCAATGGTCTGTCCACAGCACTGTTGGGCGCTATGTATCCCTTACCCCGAGTGCTGTACTCTATGGGCAGCGATGGTGTGATCTTCCGGTTTATGGCTATCGTTCACCCGAGGTTTAAGACACCCATTTATGCCACACTATTGTCCGGTATATTAGCCTCTGTTATGGCGGCTATTTTTGATCTGGATCAGTTGACCGACATGATGTCAATTGGTAAAATTAACATACTACATTATTACAAACAATAACTAATATGTAATTATAATATAATAATTACAGGCACTTTATTAGCGTACACTTTGGTCGCTGAATCTATTGTTATTATCAGGTAATCTCTCTCTCTCTCTCTCTCTCTCTCTCTCATTTATTATACAATGTTATTGTATTTAGTAAATTCATATAATTAACCATGTTACTTTTATAATTGCAAAATAATCAGATACTCAGATGACGTAAAAGAGATTAATGAAGTAAGGGATGAGTCGAGCGACTCAAGCGATGATAATCTCTCGACAGATAGCAAAACATATAAAGCAAACCTCGCATACAATACCACTGTTTGGCGACAACTTTTCAATTCAGACCAATTGTCTCGTCCGACAAATTTTTCATCAAAAGTCGCCAATTCATTGATCGCTACAATCAGTTAATATTTATTACATAACTTTTTAAATTATAATTAACCACCTTATTTTACTATCAAATCTAACAAATATACCTTTATGTTTAATTAAATAACGCAGGTATATTGATAGTCATATTTGACGCACAGCTAGTATTTCTACAAGATGATATATTTGGTGGAAAAGTAGCCCCAATTATTACCGCGAGCATAACATTAGCCCTGATATGCGTTACCGTATTTTGTCTTATGAGACAACCAATGATACAAAAGTCCCGATCTTTTGAGGTAATTATATAACTACTATAATGTGAAATAAATTTACAAATTATTATTATTTAATTAATTTATCATAATAAATAAACACAGGTTCCCGGCGTACCAGTGATTCCACTGTTAAGCGTATTCATAAACGTATATCTCATGTTTAACCTATCGTATGATACTTGGATCAGGTTTTTGGTCTGGATGATTTTAGGTAAATACAGTAAATTATCATAACTTATTTATTAATTATTTTTAAACTGGGTTATTATTATTATTTTTGTGAAATAACTATGTGATTGTATTAATAGGTTTATTAATGTATGGATTGTATGGCATTCGCAACAGTAGTGAACGAGTTAACCGAAAGCTCAGTGATGACCGGGTGGTTGTTGTAGGCAAAACTTACTAGATCAATTATTACTATTATAAATTATTTTAATTTTGTCATTTTTACTTAATTAATATTTTTATAAATCATAGTTTCATTTACTTAATACACTGTCATTTGTAACATAATTTGTCATAATTTATTGTATACATTAAATTTTGTAATAATAATTTATTAAAGATATTAATCATTGTTAATAACTAGATAATTAACTAATTACAAATAGATTAATACAATAAAATATCGAGCTTATATTAATTTATTTGTATTGGTATAAGATGTATTTTTTATCAGTTAAAGGGTAAACAGCATGTTATTGAAAATATCAAAATAGTTACAGTGGATTTTCATTAAACGTGACATAAATAACTTCTTATCATTTCACATGAGATTACCTGAGTATAATAGGTACCAAAAATCACATGATCATTTCATTATATTATTAATTCATTGCAAGTTGATAGAAAGGTTTACAAACTTTAGTACAAATATTATTTAACATTATATTATACAGGTATTATAGCATAATTTTATATTACTAGAATATAAGCTAATAAGTAAGATTATTACCTAAATTCTCTATTACCACAATTAAATATAATATTTATGTTTTTACCACCCTAAATCTAAGCTTATTAAATATTGCATTTTATGTTCTAACAACTGCGATATGCATTATTTAATTATTGCAATATTCAAACATTATAATGACACTTATTGTTTACATTTAAAAATCATTCAATTCTCTCTCTCTCTCTCTCTCTCTCTCTCTCTCCCTCCATAAATTGATGTTATTTTACTAATAACTTTGATTAACATTAACCTAGTTTGGTAATGTCATTAGTTATTTAATATGCTAAAGTTGAATTAATAAATTAAATAAAAAATTTATTACATTTTGTAATGCCTTAAATATTTAATTTACGTTTTTATTGGTTTTATGTAAGTGTAATAATTTATGCAAATAGACAATTTGGTATTCTGGCTA